CAGCAAAAGAAGACATTTGTCTCTCAGGGGTTATAAATTACTTTTGATCAAGAAAACTGGCAAAAAAGGTTTCCAGGAAAAATGCACAGGCAATAGTTTTTCATTTCTCCTGCAGGAGAACCTACAATGCCTGGGTGTCTTGGGTTTTATGTGCCTTTGGCATGGGTTTTAAGTGCAAGTAAAGGGGCAAGGGTGAGAAGAGCCAAGGCAAACAGGTAACAGGTCCCTCTGTCAGGTTGAGATTCTCCGACTAGTAGAGCATCCAAGACCATGGAGCTTAAATGTGTCTATGGGAGGGAAGAGTGTCATCCTGGTATTTCCTAAGATCAATGTGAACCTATTTACATTCAAACTCCTCTTTGGGGCTCCCAGCATTGAAATGGGTTCCTAGTTAGCTGTCAGCAGCAAAAGCTTTGGATGGGGGAAGCCGTACTGACTGTCTCATCCTTGCCATTACGTGAACTCCCCTCTGAAGTAAACCTGTGTTAAGGTGGGAAGTTGCCCTGTTAGGTTAGTGCATGCTCTGTGGGTCCCAGCAACTCCGAACCGAGTTTGCACGTGGGAAAATGTGCGGGTTTTGAATTCCAGCTTTGGAAACGTACCTTGAGATCAGTAAGGCAGGTTGGACTCTTTTTAGCTCATGCAGTGTCACGTTAACACTTCTTTAACACAGCTGGACCCAAACACAGGAGCCGGGTACTGGAGAATCACAACCAGAATCCTTAAGTCCTGCCTTCTGTTGTATCTGCCTTCAGCGTGGTTGCATGGATATTAACTGAGGGTAGAAGATGGCTTTGCGTTTGAAACCTAATTAAGAGACCCGCTGGGAGACCGGATAGACTCCAGCTCTCTCCTAAAGTTTCAGCTTTGCCATGGTTATAGGTTTAAATGGTTCTGTCTTTCTGTCCCTCTCACAGAACAGGGCTGCCAGTAGCATATTGCATGCTTGTCCTCTGGTTAGATCCTGAGATATTGCTTCTTTTTTTTTTTTACTCTGGGAGTGCCTTTAGGGCAAGTTATTCATATTGCAGATCACAGACGGCATAGTGCCCTTGGAAATGGGGGAGAAGGCTGGTTTTCCGCATGCACTGATTTTGTCTTCCAGTCTCTATTGCCAGCGTCTTTCTCCTTCTGTCTCAGCATATCAGGTTCTGCTCATCATTATAATTGTCTGACCATGGTTTTGTGTTTTGCTCCCTTTTCCCCTTCCCCTCTCCAGTACATCTTTGTGGATGTCTTCATCCAGTACCTCTGGATCACGACTGATTTCTGCAACAGTATTCAGGGCTTCTCTATTCCCTTCAGAGCAGCAGATCTTCTCTTGCACAGCAGGAACCCTAACCTGGTTTTGGGCTTTGATAGATCTCATCCTAACAAACAGGTGAGAAGCTGTAGCCAGATGGGTGTGCCAAGCCATACCGCTTCTGCGGTCTTACTGAGTGCCTAAAATGTTACATACTTGTTTGACTGCTTGCTGTGAGATGTGCTCAGTGCCCATTGCACTGTATCTACTTCCTTCGTCGACAGCTATCAAGAAAGGTTTGATTCAAACTGGCTTCCTGCACCATCCTTCCCTGCAGGCAGGCACGCATCCATCATTTTTCTCATGATTTTTGTGGCATCGAAGGTCTATGGTTACTCTGGTATTAACAATAAGATCTCCCCTTTCCCTAGCCAGGGGAGGTAGGTGCAGCTCTCTCTCTCCATCCCTTACTGTCTTGCAAACATTCATGACCTGAGTCTGGGAGATAGGTAAATACGAGTATCCCCATTTCACAGAGGGAGAAAGAGGCCCACAAAGAGGTTAATAGTCTCACTCAAGACGACACAGCAGTTCAGGGACAGAGCCAGGGCATGAGCCCAGGTGTGCTCATTGTCTGGCCTTTTCTATAGCTACTGGACAACATTCCTTCTCCGGTCCTGCCTATCAAGTTTCATGCAAGAAAGACGGAGGGCAGAGGGGGATTGGCTACAGCTCACCTGAAGGACGGCTCGTGCGTGTCCCATTTCCTTCAGGCACCAGCATGATCTGTAATTTATGTGCTGAGACCTAGCAGGGAGGGTTGGCACTCAGAAACACTAGACTGCCCCATGCTCTGTAGGCCTTACCCTTAGCAGTGGCCGTGAGGTTTATCTCAGAAGGTCACGTACCGGTATCATATAGCGCTGTGTTTTGCTGTCTCCCTGGCCATAACTGTGTGATGGTTTCTGCACCCTGGACTAGAGCGTGCATGCGCGTGCTTCACCGCTACGCAGCCCTAATTAGCCAGAACATCCCCTTTTAAATATTTAAATCTGTTTGCTCTCTCAGGCAGCTAGGAGGGAAGATGTTTTATTTTTACAAATGGTTCCCCCCTGTCCTCCCCTCCCTTTGCATCCTATAATCCTCTGAGACTGCATCAATAGTAACTCACAGCAGAAGGCTGCCAGCAAAGGCAGGAATGACCTTTGGATCATTTAACATGGGTTTGTGGCTTTGCATTTGGCCTTGCCGTGCAGATTGCTTTTGGCTGCAGGTAGAGGAGAATGCTTTTATACAACTGTGCAGCTAGAGCATTTAACGTTTTGACATGTCTTTTTAAGCTAGAGCCCCACCCCAAATGCATAAATTATAAGTAAGTAAAGACATGCATCTGCAAAGTACATAAATAACCAATGCTGTTTTACAGCCTAATCAGCGAGCCACCGCAGGCTGGATTATTTGTTATACTCTCTGAGAGGCGCAGTGTGAAGGGCATAGACCAGGCATGGGAAAAACAGAATTTTATATCACCTTTGTGCTGTCCTGAGCAACTTTGCTCCTGCTGCTGTGGGGCAAAGTGACTCCTGGCTTAATTCAGAGCTGCCCCAAAGGCTGTTTTGGTTTAGAGGAACTTGCTCAGGTCTATCTCAGGGCTGGACTGCAGATCACAGCCATATACTGCTGAATCGTATGACTTTTGCTGCTTCTGTGCTTGACATATCTCCTTCTTCCCCTGACATTCAGCACCTACCAGGTTTTGCATATGTCAGCTCTACGCTGCTTCTGCGCTGGTTGGTTCTCCCCTGTCCTTTGCCATTCACTTGCAGCCCTTACATCTCACTGGGGAGACCTGTGTGGTTTCGAATTAGCTCCTGTCTTTCTCCAGCTTTTGCTTGCTTTTGATGCCAGGCTAGGTGATAATGCAGACAGAGCTGATCGGGGGGTTAGATCAGTCGGCTGGGAGTCAGCACCTCTGGGGTCCTCTTCCTTGTTTTGCAGCTGACTGGCTGCTTGACTTTGGGAGCTCAGACAGGGATAATACTTCCCTTCTCTGCAAGGCCTTAAATTAACCTTTGCTGAAGCGTTTTGATACCTGCAGTAGGAAGGAGCCAGGGAAGAAAAGGTGAGCCTGACCATGATTATTGAAGGATTAAATGCTTCTATTTCTGAAATGGAAAAAAAATCAAGGCTACGGCCCAGGTATCTTTCCTTGCAAGAACAATCAGACATGCCATTCTGGTAAGCTTGGGCTGAGAGAGGGCGGTAGCCAGTCCATAATCACTGAACAGTGCACTGTTACAGCCATGTACCACTCATTCAGAGCCAAAGAGCTTAATCCTTCACTCTCTGTGCACCTAACGATGCTGCTAATGGGCACCAGTGATGCATTTATAAGCTATGCTTGATCTTCTTATGACCACTAAACTTTTTTGAGCCAGCTGAATCTTGGAGCTGAAAAGTCGCCAGCCTCTTGTACATCCTAGGTGAAGGCATGTAATTATGAAAATTTAAGTGTCAGCATGATTCTGGGTATTGTAACAGAAACAGAGAGCAGAGCTTTCTCCTAGCCCAGATGCTTTAGTCATAGTTTTACCCTTCCATGTATCAGGAGAGATTATTCCTAATTCTGGCTCAGTGCCCACAACGGCAGGGATGCAGGCAGGAGCACACGATCGTTTTAGGGTGGGACTAAGAGCGTAGCCGTTTGATGTGGCAGGTGACTCTTGTACATACCCTGCAGCACCAAGCCAGTGGAGCATTTCTGCTTATGGCAGCAAATGGATGCTGGGAAGATGGGGGTGCGGCACCTGGAGTTTGTCTACACAGCTTGTGCACCACACCGGGGACCGTCCCACCTGCTTCACCCTGCACCCCGCTTACCTGAGCCCCAAAATTAGGCTTAGCATGGTCTTGAATGGCTCTTTGGCTCTGCATTGGGTACGCTTCCTGCCATGGTCTCAGGGGACCACTCGCAGCCAGCTGCACTACCTAATTTCCTGGCTGCCGTGTGCAGTCGGCTCAGCCAGTGGGAGGGGCGTGCTCCTGGCAGCAGACCCAGGTGCAGCAGGGAGGCAGAGCAGACATGTCCTTCAAGCCCGACTACAGGCCCACACCTCAACCATGTTCATAGCTTGCTGTTTGACCACGGGGCTGGCAGATTTCCAGCATTTAACCCTTCAGTTTGACACATTTTGGAAACGAGAGCTGCAATGTGTGAGACTCACTTGTATCTCTGACATTTTGTATTGCAGCTTTGGAAATCAGACGATTTTGGTCAGACCTGGATAATGATTCAGGAGCATGTGAAATCTTTCTCTTGGTATGTACTGCACCGCTGTCACACTGGCACATTTTGTTCTTCCTCTCTCTCCTCACTTCTCCTCCCATCCTTTGCCGAGGACTTGAGCACAGATGTGGGCAGATATCAAGGTGTAAAGCTGTGCTTTAACATTCCCTTCTAAAGTTCGGTCTGTAGCAAGTGGATCTCATAGTTGTTAAACAGGAAGAGCTGATCACGGGGGCTTGGTGCAGAAGTGGGTCGGCAGAAAGCTACCGGTACTTTGAGCTTCTTTACCTTGGTGCGTACAGTGCTGGGGTCCTGACAGCTGTCACCAGCCTAAACAGTGTGAAGCTGAATCAGTGTTAGCAGATCTGCTCAGGCAAAATATGAGAGTGGCAAGTACTTTTCATTTGTATTTGTGTTGTTTGCACCCTCTGTGGTTGTTTTGTACTCTGGAGTTGGGGGGCACTGCACCACTTCTAAAACTTACTGTTCAGTAAGATTTCATAGTGATTTTATGCACAGATAAGGTGTACTGGCCAAAACAGAACGTTTTTGGGAGGTCTCTAAACTTGCTGTCTGATTTCTGGTGGACGCTGTGCTTTTTTCCACTTTCTGGCTTAAGTGATCATTTAGTCTTGATGTGCAATGTTAAACAGCTTCTGCACAACATCGGTATCAGGATTTTCTGTGGGGATCTCAGGGAGGAGTTGCTCTAAATTTTAAAAGGTCTTTCATTCAAAGACCCTGATTTTACCTCTGTTAAAGTTGGTGCTCAAACTCCCGTTGACATCAGTGGTACCGAACAGAAGAAAGGCCCTTGAGGTCCAATGTGCATCCATGTCATGACCTCAGTTGGGAGTGAACCCTACATCAGACCCAGATTCTTCTTCTCACCGTGAGATGGGCCAAAGCCCCCGGGCTCACCGTGTGCCATCATGATGTTCAAAACTCCAGTCCAGATTGTGGAGTTTGAACCCATCTCTTGTTAAATGACTTTGTTTGAAATGACTGGTGCAATCTGAATAGCTAAGTGAGATGAAAAACTGACATACCATTTCTTTTTCCTCCCTCCCCAAGGGGCGTTGAGCCTTATGATAAGCCAAATACAGTTTACATAGAACGGCATGAACCTTCAGGGTCTTCAACTATCATTCGCAGCACAGATTTCTTTCAAACCAGGGAAAATAAAGAAATCATCCTGGAAGAAGTGGAAGACTTCCAGTTCAGGGACAAGTATCTCTTTGCCACAAAGACAGTGGTAAGTAACATGTAAGCAAGTCACCAGGTGGGTCAATAGCTTATACTTCAAGTGCCTGCTCTAGAACTCTTTAAAGTCAATGGGAAAGACTTCAGTTGACTTTGACAGTACACCAATGGACAATAGTTAGTCAAGCTTCATCAGTGATGTAACGAAAACAAGGGAATGTTCTTGGACCTGAAGGCAAAACATTTAATGTTTCATCAGCCTATTGACAGACTCAGAAAGAAGAGTGAGCTGGAGTTAGTGACCTTGGCTTAATGCTGTTTAGGGCCTGACAATGTAAATGCTAACAAGAGGGTCTTAAATACAACCCCCCCCCAAAAACAGTAGATTAATACATGAGTACCATGGACATGCCAGCCAGGACCTTTGCTCAGTGCTGGGACTTGGAGTGAGAAGTCTGCAAAGTTGAAATGGTGCATCTAAATCCAGATATTTGCAGACTTTACATTTACTTGGTCACAAAAGCATCATCGTGGTTTGTGGACAAGCAAACTGTTTGGATAGACCATTCTTGATTTGGTGCAGTTGGCTTGACACCTCAGCTTAGCACAGGTGAGCTAGAATGGCTGGATGGCTCCTGCGGTGGGATGCTACCAAGTCTGCTGCACAAGCCAACAGTAACCCTCCTCCTTACCTCCTCTCGGAGGTGTGGTGTCTTGCTACCGCTCCTGAGGTGTAAGTTTGAGCCTTGCTTTGGATTCATGCTGATGCCTACTCTTAGCTGACATTGGATTCATGCTGATGCCTACTCTTAGCTGACATAGCTGTAAATGGGAGCCTGGGCTTTTGGGCTGGGAGGTCAGCTAGAAGTGAGTGCAGCTCCATCTCTCACATGTGTGTTGTCAGGTGTGCTAGTCTGACAGGCCTTCCAGGCTCAGGAGAACCATAACTGACTGACCTCTTCACAGTGCAGGGCTGAAATGAGATTGGATGGGAACAGTGGCATTTTCCTATATTGATTTGATTTAAGCAAGGCAGAAACGGGTCAGTCTCTGAAGTCCCAGAGCTCTGGGAGAAGAGCCCAGCTGCCAGCCAGCCAAAGGACAGAAGTTAACTTCTGGTGCTGGGGGAAGATGATGCCTATTTGCAATAGTTCAGTTCATAAATCATAAAAATGAGGGTTGGAAGGGACCTCAGGAGGTCACATCTAGTCCAACGCCCGGCTCAAAGCAGGACCAGCCCCAACTAGATCATCAGGAGGATACTTGTCAACTTGAACTTTTCTTTCCTTTAAAGAGGACAAACCTGCTATTTTTGTAGCATCCCCCTTTCACCAAGACACTTTTAACAAGCAAAGCAGCTCACAGTCGCATTGTAGTGGGTCCTTCCCCAAAGCTGCTTCCTGTGTGAATGCCACAGCAGCGAGTAGTAAGCATCTTTACCGTTGACACCCGCACAGTGCCTTTATCATGCAGTCATGTCTAAAGCAAACAGGAAAATTGTTTGAAGGACTGTTTTGATTGCTAAAAAATACCCTGCACAAGAATGGAAAGCTACCGCATTTTGGGGTATGTAGGCCTGGCATTTGGGCCCGATATTACTGGGATTCAGCCCACAATGAGTTGAGAGAATCAGAATACTCTGTCTAGTTTTTGTATTGGCATAACGAAAAGCATAGTGACTGCATACTGCTTTATGGAGAAATAATCCAACAGGAGGACTCCAGTTTGCTTTCCAGTTCTCCTGTGAGATCCACTATTGGTCCATTACATTCTCTACTGGTGATTCTTGTACATTATCTCCGAACCTGTAGTGTCTGAGCACCTTGTCATCTTCAAGCTGTTTGCTCTCACAACACTGGTGCATGGGAAGGGGATGGTTTCCAGTCCTCTTGGCTACACAGTTGTAACAGTCTTTAGACTCATGAGCAAATAGGAAAATGTGTTGTTTTTTTTTAACGTGAGCCAAAATATTGAAATTGGAACCGTGAAGGTTGCAGTTTTGCTGGTCTGACGCATTCCAAATTCATGAGGCAAGTTGCAAAAGTTTTGAGATTTTAAAAAACGCAGTAGATTTTGGGATTCATTTGATTTTTTTTTTGATTTTGGAGGGGAGTTGGTGACACTGAGCTAAGCATCTACATCCATGCTTATGCGCTTCTCTTACAGCGATACAAAGCCCCCTTGACTACTGTTAAATCCCGTGGCCGCCTGTTTTGGAACCTAAATATAGACTGAGGTGTCTGACATCGGGGTGCTGTATTCAGACATCCTGAATGTGATTTTTCTTAACTTGATGCCTGTCCATGTTAAACTTATCCCAAGCAGGCAAATATCTAAACTAAAGCATAGCTAATGTGCAAGAGGAGAGCTATGGAAAAAGAATCACATTAATGTCTGCCTGTATGGGAGGATGATGAGAGGTGAACATTAGTATTGGTCAACACAGTTGATCACCAGAGAGTTGGGAGATCTCCAGATTGCAAAATAGCAATAAGGACAGTGACATATTGACTCCAGACTTGACATTGAGTATTTAAAGGGACCACAGCTTTCTTTCCTGTAAAGGACAGGGAAATTCAAAATAGGTTTTAAGTTAGATCTACCTGGTGTATGCATCTAAGGCATCTTCTGGGTAAATACTGACTTTTTGCAGGGCAAGCAGAAAAGTATAGTGTTGCCAGTTTTCCATGTTAGCAATAAAGACTCCCACATATGCTAGGGTGAGGGCATAGCGGTTTCACGTTTCACATTTGCAGAGAACGGTGTTAAGCCATAACTGTTTTTTTTAGAGTCCATTTTGTTGGAAGTCCTATCAAATTACTCCATCAAGCAGGTCTTTGCCTACTTTACTACCATGCTTTTTGTTAAGTTTCATCTGTTCAGCTTTTCATCTGTATTACAGACAATTATGAATTTAGACATAAAAGAGAGTCCTGACATGTTCCTCCCTGCCCTTCCTCCCAGCATTTCTTGGGTGGCCAGCAGCAGTCTTCAGTTCAGCTGTGGGTCTCCTTCAACCGCAAGCCAATGCAAGCTGCACAGTTTGTAACCAGGCATCCGATTAAGGTAAATGGGAACTCTTTATTCATCCTTCCTCCATAGATATCTAAGGGATTGCAACAGCATTTCTGCTTCGACCTAAACACTGCAGTAGTTAGCTTGGTAGTAAAATCAGTTCTGAACAGTTTGTCCTTTCTCATGTTTGGCATAGAAGAGAAGCTGATAGCAATGATGTCCATTGGGAAAAACAGGATTGCAAACCAGAATCAAATCACTTGTGCCCATGAGTCCTTGCAAAATCAGGCCCTTTTTTCATTCTAAGTAGCAAAATGTTGATGGGCTTTTTATTAGGCACAATTTTTACCTGTTTTTAAATTAGCGTAAACCTGCAAGGCTCTGTCTCTTGGATTCAGGATTGTGAGAGCATTGCTGTGCGTCCCAAGAAATTGGTTTCCATGTGTGGGGAACACAAGATTATTTGCATTGTACTTAAAAGCCTCAATTGCAGCTAGCCAAGTGTGGATGTAAGAGTCTTCTCTTCCCAGATGCAGGCACTTAGCATAATAGTCCTTGCAATTGCAGGAAGAGGAAAAATGTCCTCTGCCAGTACCAGCCTGGATTCCAGCCTCCCCACGGGAGATGGTGGTAGGTTAGGACTGTGCTGCATCCACCTTGTTCACGAGCCTATGGCAGGGGGTGGCAGCATAGTGGGAGAGCTGACATGCTGTTGGCTGTGGCAGTGTGCATGGTTTCTCCTCCTACTGGGGAGCAATTGGGCCCACTGTGGCATCCTGCTTCCAAGATCTTCCCTTTGGGCAGAGCAAGAGCTGTGCCACACTGAAGACAGGGCTACTTCTTTCACAGCACAGGCCAGCTAGTGCTTTTCCTTTTGCTGCTGCAGCAGTGAGCTCTAGGGAGTGACTGAAGTTTCAAAGAGCTTGGGGATATTATCCTACTAAATCCAGCCTCCAGTGATACCACTGCTTCCCAAAGCTAGAGTGAGTACAAGAGAGCTGGGGTGCCTTAGTATTTTGGTGAGAACTAGGTAGACACTCAACACTTGGCAAACACGTTTACTGCCTTTAGGAGGTCGCCGTCTCACGCCGATCCAGACATACGGATCAGGCAGAGGCAGGGCTCGGTGGGTTGGAGAGAGCTGGATGAGTTCTCCCATTGTTGCAGTGCTAATCTTTTTTTTTGGCCTGCTCCACGGAGGAGCAGCTCTTTGAGGGTGGATTTGGAGGCAAAACTCACTTGCGCAAAAAGCGGAGGTTCGGCATTCATCTGCCAAGTGGAGAAGCCGAACATGGGTGGAGGGAGGATTGGCTTCCAGGCGTCTGAGAGGAAATAACAAATGCTTGAGACTTGGGGAAAGAAACACAGAGATTTAAAAGGAAAAAAAAGGCTGGGGGGGAGGACAAACATGGAGCGGTAAGCTAAACGAACGTCGTTTGTGTTGTTTGCGTCCCTCAGGAGTACTACATTGCCGACGCATCCGAGGACCAGGTGTTTGTGTGCGTCAGCCACAGTAACAACCGCACCAACCTGTACATCTCAGAAGCAGAAGGACTGAGGTTTTCACTGTCTTTAGAGAACGTGCTGTACTATAGCCCCGGAGGAGCAGGCAGCGATACCCTGGTCAGGTAAGGACAGGCTGGCTAATGACAGCAGGCGCAGCGGCTGGGTGGCTTGGGGCATCTACCATGGGTTACACTGGGAATTTCATGGCAAGGTTGCTGTGCGGAGGGGAAACCCAACGACGCCAACTCATAGACAGTTATAGAAAGCTTCAGCTCACGTTGCAAACATATTCAACTCCACAGCGCCCTGGAGTAGATGAGCATCAACCCCGTTTTGCAGGTGAGGGAGAGTTGTTTAGCGATTCATTTTAGCTTGCAGAGCCAGTCAGTAGAGGAGCTGGGGTTAGGATTGAACCATGAAACCAAGTTCCTGCATGCGTCTCTGTCGATAGCGAAGGGGTAAAGCAAAATGTGCCAGTGGAGGATTAGTACGACTGCCTCTGAGGAGTCGACACCATGAAGCACATCATGGAGCTGGGTGCTCGATTGTCAAACATACCTATCCCCTCTCATCAGAGAGTTCAAAGGTACATGGCCACCTTGGCAGCCGTCTCTCCAGTGTGTTGTCTTTCATGCTGCGTTTGATTTGGGTGTTTTTGTGGGCAGAGAGTGATCCTGGATTTTAAAAGTACCTCCCTGGTGCTCCGTGGCAGTTAAAAGCAGACGTCACAGGCTTGCATTTCTTGGCAGGTATTTTGCCAACGAGCCTTTTGCAGACTTCCACCGAGTTGAAGGTGTGAGGGGCGTGTACATCACCACGCTGATAAACGGCTCCTTCAGCGAAGAGAACATGAGGTCCGTCATCACCTTTGACAAAGGGGGGACCTGGGAGTTTCTGCAGGCCCCGGCATACACGCGCTACGGAGAAAAAATCAACTGCGAGGTAACAAGCAAGCAGAACCGGGTCATTCGACCCCACTGTCTTTCCTGCCCAAGTGCAGCGGGGCTGGATCTGATGATCTCAGGAGGGCCCTTCCGGCCCCTAACTTCTGTGAATCTGGGAGTGGCATAACCTCTTGTTCCCTACCTTGGGAATCACCATGAAACCCTGACCACTTTTATTGCAGAGTCTGAACCTTTGTCAGTCCCTACAGGGCTGCCTGTGGCTGAGCTCTGGTGGTAAAATGAAACTTTTAAGCAGAAAGGGTGGAGATCAGGGTGGAGCAGCCCATAATAGCAAAAGTCACATGGGAGTTTGGGAGCTGAGACCTCAGTGTGGTGCATTTGCAGGCAAGCATCAGTTCAGTGTCCTCTAGGACCCTGCTGAAAGGTTGGGTAAGTGCTGAGATGAAAGCTCATCCACTCTTTCCCCAGCCAGCGTGTTTCAGTCGATTCTTGGACAAGCTCTTCTCTTCCCCTTGTGAAGAGCATGGGTGCCAGCTGCAGAAAAGGCTATGAAAGGAGTGTGAGGATGGACCAGTTTGAAGACATCCCAGGTGAACTCTTGGCCCCACTGAAATCAGTGACCAAACTCCTCCTGACTTCAGTAGGGAAACTGAATGCAGGGCTACCTTCTTCAGGGATATGTGGAATGGAGGAAGAGCATGTAAAGAGCATCCTTTCCCCATCTCCTCGCTACCTTGGTCCCCTACTGATGTCACTGCCAGTTTTAGCTACCCAGATGAGGGTGAGGTATTCACCTGCACCAGCAGCACACAGCAGAGAGGACTGGGTGCTGAAACACAGCAGACCAGACATGGTACTTGGATCTCTTGTGTCCTAGTCGACTGCGAAACCCCAGAGCAGTCTCTTGCTGCAGGGACCCAGCTCTCCCAGTGGAGAGGAAGCACAGTCCAGTAATGAAAGTCAGAGTCTTGCTGGGTGCTCTTGGGCAAGTCACTTCCTCTCTCCAGGCTTCAGGTTCTTCCTCTTTGTAAAAAGAGGATAATTCATCCCAGCGTGGGTTTTTACACATGCTCATATTTTCGGAGCGTCTCGCAGCAGCACATTAAGCAGTGTAACCAACATCTGCCATGTGCTTATTCTCTCGTCCTCCTCAGAGAAGGAGAAATGTGTTCAGCGGAGGGCTTTTATGGAGTTTCTGGTTGAAATAATGCTTGCACGCACACATGCTGCCGTGTATTTGAGCTGTGATAAGGTTAAAAGAAATGCAGCTTGCACTTGCAAAGGAAGGTGATGCGGTTTATTATGGTCCTTTGTTCTGGTGAGGGTTGGTTCTAGGGTCTCGGGCCAGCCCTTGAGGAAGCTGTCTTCTGCCTAAGCAAGCATTGTCCGTATTACAGGGAGTTGCACTGGGTTAGAGGAGTGGAGCTGTCTGCCTGTGCCTTCACCTTGGGGTTGTAGGTGGTCATTGAGACCCTGCTGCATCCAGTTCATTGAGAGTCATGGAGATGAAGTTTGCAGCCTTAAATTTGACTAGATATTGTCTGGAAAGCCAGGGCAGGGCATAGAGCACAGGTTTGCATGTATGGGGAGCCAATTTTGCTGAGGCAGCATGCGACAGAGTTGGGTACCAGCTGGAATTGTAAGTTTTGCTGGTGTACGTTGCCTGAAGTGACAAAGGCACGAAGGTTTTCATCCCTTCTGGGGTCATGGAGACCCTGGATTCACTAATGTTTTGAGGCACGTCAAAAGCCTTTCATAATCGCAATTGCGTTTTGCTCTTCTAGTTTTCCCAGGGCTGCTCTCTTCACCTGGCCCAGAGACTGAGCCAGCTGCTTAACTTCCAGCTACGCAGAATGCCCATCCTCTCCAAAGAGTCTGCTCCAGGACTGATCATTGCTACAGGTATGGTCTTCTTAAGGGCCTGATCCGGTGAGGAGCTTTGTCTGCTGACTAGAGGGTGCAAAGTATTTTTAAGTGGTATTTAGCCCTTACCTGTATTGACAATATTGAGTATATTAAAAATGCAATTAAAATGTGTGTTTTGCAGTCCCCTTTGCTCCGCTTACCTGCTACTGTTATTGCTGCGTATAAATTTGGGTGTGTTATTGTTCAAAGTAGAAACACTTCACACTTTATTCTCTTCCTCCCTCCCTCTCACAATCAACCCAAAGGTTTGTTTAAAGGCTTATAGACACTAATACTTGACTCACGTATCACTTTATTATAGAAACCTCGTTATGTGGGATATTTGGAATGCAAAGAGTAGGTTTCATCTGATCATACGTCTTTTATACTTTTTGTGTTTTCCCTGATTCTTTTTAAAACTTGCAATAATCCTATTAATTCGTTACTTAAAAGCACCTGATTAACAGTGTGGAAACCTAACTCTCCAACGCTGGCAAATAACAATAGTTTAATGGTGGTGGTTTCATTTTAAGTAACCCAGTTGGATATGTCAAGAAGAATTACGTTCTCATTCTCTTAGGGTCAGTTGGCAGGAACATGGCGAGCAAGACAAACGTCTATGTTTCAAGCAGTGCTGGAGCAAGGTGGAGAGAGGTAAGGATGCTATTTTCATTAAACCAGCATGACAACGTAGCCAAAAAGGTATATTTTTGGGGTGAGGGGAAGCATAGCACTGGTATATGACTATTATATATGCTGTATTAAGTTTTAAAGGTGACCTGCACATACTGAATATGCTCACACATGTGCAGATTAGGGAGTTTAAGTTAAATACCCCAAATACCCCAGAAGCAAAGTTTAAAAGAGCTTTTAGCATATGACAAATGTTTCCAGGTTCCACTCCCGTACTCAGAAATCAATATCCAGTCTGACAGATGCTGCTGTGTGAGCTATTGTGGTCATCTCATTTCAACTGTAAAAGGGCTTGGAACAGTAAAAGCAAGAAAAGGGCCCGTTTTAATTTCTTTACTGCAGAGTTCTCCAAAATGTTTGTCAAGTCTGCACAACACGTGGGCATAGCGTTGATATGCAGCGCGTTCACATTTGTTAAAGCAAAATGCCCAAACGAAAGATTTGCAGATTGGAGCAATCGGTGGAATGGGAAACTGGCACGTTGCTCGCCGCTAGCGATTGCTGTGGTTGAAACTTCAAAAGCAGCAGGGCACAGGCGGGTGCATTGAGGCAAGAGGGTTGGAAAGGTTGGTCTTGTGGGTAAAGCATTGGATTCAAACACAAGAGCACTGTGTTCATTTCCCAGCTGTACCACAGACTCCTGCAACACATCACTTAATCAGGAGAGATTACAACTTTGTCCTGTACCTGGCAAGCAACGGCGATGCCATTGCCTGTATTTTCTTTGCTCCTCTACGCTGTAAGCTTCTTTGTGGGACAAACAGGGACTGTATGTCCCTGTTTGCCTGCACAGGGCCTTGATCTGTTGAGCACGGCTGTGTACTTGTGTAATACATAAATCAATACAATAATAATAGCACAGATTGGGACATCACTGAGCGAGTGCTGTCACTGGGAGAGGGAGAGGGAGAGGGAGGGGGGCTTGGGGAAACAGAATCAAATCAAAAGTTGGGGGGAGTAGTAGATAAGCTGGAGGACAGGATTCAGTGACCTCGACAAATTGGAGGATTGGGCCAAAAGAAATCTCATGAGGTTCAACAAGGACAAGTGCAAAGTCCTGCACTTGGGACAGAGCAATCCCATGCACCGGTACAGGCTGGGGGCTGACTGGGTGGGCGGCAGCTCTGCGGAAAAGGACCTGGGGGTGACAGTGGACAAGAAGCCGAATATGAGCCAGCAGTGCGCCCTTGTTGCCAAGAAGGCTACCGGCATCCTGGGCTGCATTGGTAGGAGTGTTGCCAGCAGATCAAGAGAAATGATTATTCCCCTTTGTTCAGCACTGATGAGGCCACATCTGGAGTCCAGTGTCCAGGTTTGGGCCCCCCACTACAGAAGGGACATGGACAAGTTGGAGAGAGTCCAGCAGAGGGCAACAAAAATGGTTAGGGGGCTGGGGGACATGACTTGTGGGGGGAGGCTGAGGGAACTGGGCTTATTTAGAAGAGAAGACAGAGGGGATTAATAGCAGCCTTCAGCTACTTGAAGGGAGGTTGCAAAGTGGCTGGAGCTGGACTGTTCTCAGTGGTGGCAGATGACAGAACAAGGAGCAATGGACTCATGTTGCAGCAAGGGCAGTTTAGGTTAGATATTAGGAGAAAATCTTCTTACTAGAAGGGAAGTAAAATACTGGAAGAGGTTACCCAGACAGGTGGTAGACTCTCCATCCTTGGAGGTTTTTAAGACCCTGCTAGATAAAGCCTTGGCTGGGATGATCTAGTTAGGGATAGTCCTGCTTGGAGCAGGGGGTTGGACTAGATGTGACCTCCTGAGCTCCCTTCCCACCCTCATTTCCTAGGATTTGATGGTTCTTAATGTACATTCCTCTTATTCTCAGTGTCACTTTGACCCGAGTTATCGCAGGCAGCTGGCAGGCTGTGCTGTAACCGGTCAATTTAGCTGTTTATTTAAGGATGGTATATTTGAGGCTTGTGGACAAATCTCAGACAAACCCCAGCATTTTCTGCCCACATGAGTGCCTGAAAGCCCTTTGGCTTCTTCGATTGGAACGGGACGTCGCTCTCAGTTGACGAGAGTTGGATGCTGCTCGCAAAGTGGGTGTCCTGGTCTGTGGCAGAGTTTGTGGTCTGCCTGAACAGTCTGCTGTTAGTGTAGTATGGGGTTTCAACATCTGTAAGCTGTTTAAAATCCTGTGAATAAAACTGCCTCCTTTTCCTCCCAGTAAGTGGTGCATGGTTTGCTTAACATCTGGGCAGCCGGGACAGTGATGGGAACAGGCCGCTGGTTTCCTTGTTGCCAACATACAGTCTTATGCAGAGGATGGCTGTCCTTGAGAGAGTCATCATATCAGGGAAGCAACTAGGGAGCTGAGTTTCTTTCCAAGGGAGCACTGTGAAAAACCTAAAAGTGTTGATTATTTAAAAAAAAAAAAGAGATAGGCACATACGCTCTTCATGCTGGGCCGTCACATTGCACTCCTTGCAAATACACAAGACTAGACTGGGCAGGGGAGGGAGCTGCAGTGTCCCCGGCTGGACCCCAGCTTCTCAGTTATTCAGTGCAATTGTGCAACTCTTCCTCTTTCTGCAGTGAGGTGATGCCAAGGACGGGAGGGGAGTGGGGGGGCGGGGAATGACCGAGCATTTTAATTTTGTGTCTGCGTGACAGCAGTTCAGCTTCTGCCTCTCTGTTCTGGCAAGCAGCTGTGTGAAAGCAGGCTGGAAGGCTTACTGGTGTCCCCAGTCCTGATACTGTTTCCTGAAGAGGAAAACAAGCAAATATTCAGAGAATGCCCCTTGCAAACAAGTCCCCAAGTGTGCTGGAGCATACCGAAGGCACAGTCAAATATGCACTTGGTTTGTTTTCATACCAAACTGGCTTCAGCTCTCTGGATAGGAAGGGAAGATGCATCTATGGTTTTGGTCGGTAAATAGAGCTGTGAGTGGGTGTGAAATATGACAGTTCTTCTGTGGGCAGAAGTGTGAACTGTCTCTTGGGTCTTTTTTTGCATGTCCCAGCATTGCTTACATTTAAATTTTGATGAAGTCTTGCAGGCTCAAAAAGAAACTCAGCTGCAATCTTTTTTGAAAATCAGCAAGTCTCTGCTTCATATCTGCCAAGCTGTCTAGGCTTTGGGGCTTGATTCTCCGTGTTTACAGCCAAGTCAATGAGAGGAGAAGCAGCGGCTGGGGTGCAGTTCTGCTCTTGGTTCCAGCTGTGTAAAGTCAGAGTGATACTGCTGACCTGGCACCAGACCTTGGCCCATAAACACTTGAGTCCCCAGTGGTCCCTGATACTGGGCTCAGCTCAGCAGGCCTGGAAGTCAGCAGGGGTCAGGCGTTATCTCTTACAAAGCTGTGTCCTAACAAGGGTTTTCTCCTGCAAAGCTTTGTTGAGACTCCAGTGTAACCTAAGCCTAGGCTTAATATTAAGCACGTGGTATGTACTTGGAAGACTTGGGACCCTTTGGGGCTATATCTTATGGTCGATGTGACGCTTTATAATCCCATCTCCTGGCAACCACAACCCTCTTTAATTGATGTTCTCCCTCTATGCTTGCTTCCTTTTTCAGGCACTCTCTGGACCCCATTATTATACATGGGGGGACCACGGTGGCATTCTTGTGGCAATAACAGAGGGCACAGAGACAGACCAGCTCAAGTAAGTTACTCAAGCCTGGCATCTGTTGACTGAGATGAGAGAACGTGCAAGAGATCTGAGCTCAAGAAAACAAGTGCATCATGTTAAGTAACCCCTTAGTTTTGTCTTGATAACTCACCCGTTAACTTCTCCCCTGTCCCTTATTTTAAATTCTTGGGAGAAATTTCTCACTGGGAGAACAGGAATAAGCTGTGGTGCCCGAGAGATGTTCTTCGGTGCGGGTGTTCTTTGCATCGCCTGTCTTTGTACATACGCGGACCCGGTTGTTACTGGCGTGGTGCGCTTTACCGACATGAATGGCTTTCTTCACAGTACCTCTGTGGAGCATTATCCCCCATTGTACAGAGGGGACTGAGACAGACAGGACGTTCATACAGGAATCTGTGGCAGGGCCAGGAGGTGCAAGCAGGTCACTGAGTCCCAGTTTATCCTCAAGAACATCCTTTCACTTCTCATTTTGTGCCAGTGCAGTATCAGCAGAGCTGAGCCCTTGTCACCGAGTGCAGTGGCAGAGGAGTTGCAGGCAGCAGAAGACCTCGTGTAGCCAAATCTTCTGTTAGACTCAGCGTTGCTCACACCACAACTGAACGTCTGCTTGTAATTTAGTACCGGTGTTTTATAAACAGCCACCCCCCTGCCTCTTACAGAAACAGCAGCAAATTTTACCAGAACCTGTGGCATTTGATATTTATCCTGGAGTTTCTCATCTAGAATAACAGACAACGAGGGCTGGAAGGGACCTTAGGAGGTCACATCTAGTCCAACCCCCTGTAGGACCATCCCCAACTAGATCATCCCAGCCAAGGCTTTGTCTATCCGGGTCTTAAAAACCTCCAAGGGTGAAGATCCCACAACCTCTCTGGGTAGCTTATTCCAGTGCTTTACTACCCTCCTTGTGAAAGAGTTTTTCCTAATATCTAACCTAAACTATGTGTCCACTCCAGCCTCAGTTTATCCTGTGGCAGTGAGTTCCCTGGGCTTCTTATCTAATTGTATAACCTGAATAATATCACTTGTCTCTTGCACCCAGAATGGTGCTCGTTCTGCTTCATCACACTGTCCATGACTGCACCATATACTTTGCCATGAATACCATTTATTAACCATTAATCCCAGGCCCTGATTAACATCATTTATTGCAGCACGTGGTTCTTTGGCAGCTATGTGTTCCCTGTTCGTTCTATCCAAGTTGTGTATTCTCTTCCTTTCGCTCTCTGGCACAAAACTTTTCCCTTTCAGTTCTCAGTTTCTCCATACCCCTGGCTGATCGCTGGCTCTCTCCCCGGTTTCTGGGATCCCATCCTTGTCCGCTGGATTGTCAGTCACCTTTCATGATACTTACAGCAGCAACTCAGCTGATTTTCAGTGTGTTGCCTCACTCACTTCCCCACTAATCACACCCAGCCCTGCACTGTTGTGAGCGCAATGTGCATGGCAAAGAATGGCTTTTTCTCTGGTTTTCTAAGATCCGTGCTCCTGCTGAGCCTATATCATTACTTTGGCTCATTTACAAGCTTAAGAACTTGAAACCACTTGCACCCATATGTGGTATAGGATTCACCAGCATGACTTTGCTGAATTAGGCCTGCAGCTGACTAAATAATGGTGGAAAATTGCAAAGAGCTTTGGATTGCTGGGGGAAAAGACTCCTGGGCCATGTCTACATGAGCAGGGGCGTGCATTTGTAGCAGCACAAATAGTAGCTGCACAAATTTGTGCTGCTACTGTGTGCCACGGTGCATGCTCCTGCTTGTGTGGTTTGCAGCGGGACACATTGTGCCACTGCTCCATGTACTGTGTGTGTGTGTGTGTGTGTTTTTTTTAATATTAGTCTTAAAGCCTTTAGAGTTTTTTTGGGCATAAGTGATTCTTTCAACAAAA